AAACCTACCCCGTATGAAAAACTGCAACAACATAGTTCGTCAAAGTGCCGATCGTGCAAATAAATATCAATCCATATTTCAGATTAATTGGGGGAAAAATAATGGGTTTTACGGATGTTTTTAACTGTCATGTGTCGTTTTTTGAAACAAAATGGTGTTTACGTATTTCCGCATTTTGTTTGTGGTTTTATATGGAAGGCCAAAAGAACAACATTGATTGTTAATTTGTTTAGTTTTATATGGAACGTTAAAAAGTTAAATTTCAAACACAGTCGATTTTTAAGCGCACTCAGGCTTCACACACAGTCGGTTAACAAACACAGTAGCAAGCACAGTCGGTTTTCTGGTTCTCGATGAGTTACAGTAAAACTTCGCTTTAGCTGCCCCGACCAAAATATGTCATGGTATATTGTAGACATACTGATATTGAAAATCATGTTAATTTTAATTTTTTAGTGCCAAACTAAATATTTTCTAAGGAAAATTGTGGAGCGAATACAAGATATTTCCTATACCAATTAACACTACTGTTGTTTCATCTCATTTTACTGTTTATTTTCTAGATATTTTTAGGTTATGAAAACTGATATGAAACTGATTTCAAAACCGTGCAACCTGTCTTTATTTAGTGGTCATATTGTTCTTTTTTTAAATCAACTAATTGCGATGTTCACATACTAGAGGGTAAGCATAGGAAGTTAGCGCACCCTCTAGTTTATTGTAATACAGCTTTAGTGCTATTGTTTTTGTATATTCTATCGTAATAAATAAATAAATAATAAAAAAATAAATAACTCATATGTTTACTTTGAAAATTTTAACATTTTGTATTAATAGCAATGATGTGCTGCATTTTGTAAAGTTTTATATGAAATTATTAACAGCTTTTTTTTGTGCAATTCAACATAGTGTTTCTAGCAAATTTATGTCATTAGCATAAATGAAATACCAAATATAATAAAATTGAGAAAGCAATTATTGTAATATTGGCTAGGCCCCTGGTTTTAATAGGCAGCCCAAAGGCCAAAATTGGCTTGCAGAGTTATTTTATTTGGCCTCTGAGGAAAAATCTTTATGCACTAAACATGAAAAAAAAAAAAAAAAATGGACCAAGAAGCTAGTACTTAATTTAACCCTATAGACATACTAATCCTACTCCTTTAACTAAAGCGTCCAACTTTATAATCATTCGATAAATGCGTTTTCAAGTAAAGACAAAAATGCAACCCATGGGTCGTGTACACTACAACTTTAACTTGACGGGAAAACAGCTTGGTTTAATTAATTAAGAACCAGGAGGATAGGGTAGTTTTTAGGGCTAACAATTGGACAGAAATGAATATGCCACAAATGAGTAAGAGCAAAATAAAAAATAAAACTTCACATTTGGACCAATCTGAGCTGAAATGCCCTAAAATGGCCACTAGTTCAAATAAAAAGTGAATAAAGCGGATTAACATTAAATAGTATTAAAATTAATTCCTGATGCAAAAACATCACGAAAAAGAAATATGGATTAATATTCATATTCATGGATTTTCATAAATTTATCATAGCCATACGCAAGTTCTGTATACCAGCTGTTACAAAGACAGTCTCCCATTGTTATAACATATTTTACAGTATTTCATTGCATGGGCAATTAATAAGACTGATGATACAATAGCTCTATTGGTATACAGCACACAGATATAATATAAGAATTCTAGAGCGCTATTCTCCAATGCTTTCAGTCTTCTAAATATGCAGAGCTGTGGGTGTGTACTCAACAAGGTATGGCTGCCGTAGAAGCAGCCAATCAAAATATGCCTAAGTATCATTTTCAGTGGCGCCCTTAATTTACTTTCAAGTCTTGAGTACTGTACAGCTTAGTTTAACAGTACAGTATGTTGAATCTCTGGCGTTGTGGTAATGCGGTCTGGGGTAACAATTATGATTTTCATTCCTCATACTTTATTTTTAAATCAGATACTCTACTTGGCCTCTTTTGGCTAGTTTAATAATTTATAATAATAATTATTTCTCTTATTTATTTAGGCACAAAATACATGTGCCAAGGATTGTCAATAGCGAATATATCACTGTCCTACTTGTAGGTGACAATCCCTTACTCAAGACAAACATATACACTCAATGCTTTATTACATAAACAAAATATAATCAGTGATGTGCGAGACATAAGGCTAGGCTAGATATTCAACAGAGACCTCACAGAGAAAATAGCATTTTGCATGAAAATTACTCAACCGTTTGCAAGAGTGCATATGTAAATAGGCCTATTCTACTGACTGGGTTCATAGCCGTTAAAAAGGTAATGTGAATGTGTAAATTTTGGATATTGATGTTGTGATAAAGTTGAAAGTTGAGGAAAACAACTGGTGACAATATCACTTCTTAGTCATAACTATTGTCCTTGAACACTACTGCAGTGGATAATATGCACTTTATCCCAATAACTGTTATTATTATTTAAGAAAAAAATAGGCCACTATACATTGCAAGTACTCTGCATTGGGTTGAGTACGGTAACAGCAAATTGATAAACAGGAAATAAATACAATCTATGTTTTTCCTTTCTTTTCAGTTCGAGCAAACTTGTATGTACAGTATGGACACAGGCTTGCACATAATAATTGATTATATAATTATTTTTTAATATTATTATTATTCTTAATATTATCATTATTATTATTATTATTATTATTATTATTATTATTATTATTATTATTTATTATTATTTATTATTATTATTATTGTTGTTGTTGTGGTTTACATTGTGGTTGTTGAAATTGTGTTGAAGACCACACAGTTGACCATTCTCGGCCGGCAGTGCTTCTAGATACCCAGCTTGCATTATTGTTCAGTCAGTTCAATGTTCTGCACTTAAACATATTGACTTTCAATTGATGTCACATGGTTAGTTCATGGAGTACAAGCAGCAATATTATACATCATTAGAACTCATCATTGGATTACTAATGATCTAATGAAAATTTATTGTTTTTTTCTGTTTTAGAGTTCAAATGTTAATTTAGTTGGGTTTTCAACAGAGGAAACCAGTAGTGAGCTTAATTGTGAATCATTTCCATGTTGTCTTCAGCTTTTATCTCTGCTTTTTATTCTAGTATACTAGCAAACAAGAATAACATACTATACATATTATATGATATGCATAATTTAAGTGCACTTTATTTTAAGATGGTCAGCATTGATTTTAGAAATAACTAAATAAATTATAATTTCTTTTACATAATTAGTATTACCATAAGAGACATTTAATTTTTTTAAATATTTTTGATCTTGACTTGTCTTATTTCAATTTGTTTAATTTTATTAATGTGACCCACCTAGCATTACTGATAATTATTGGCCATGTTATTATTATTATTATTATTATTTATTATTATTATTGTTATTATTATTATTATTATTATTATTATTATTATTATTATTATTATTATTATTATTATTAGGAATGGATTCCTTTGTGGATTACCAAACTCGATGATCAAGAAAATACAACACCAATTAAATTCTGCAGCTCGCCTTATTAAACAAATTTTAAAAAGACATCACATTACCCCTATACTCAGATCACTGCACTGGCTTCCAATACGACAACAAATTGCATTTAAAATTCTTGTCTTACAAAACGCTTCATAATTCCTCGCCATTTTACCTTAAGGAACTCATTCAGCTCCGGTCAACATCATGCAGTAAACACTTAGATCTGCGTCAAGCTCTACAACACTTTCACCCTCTTGGAGCCGCACTAAATACGGAGAGAGGTGTTTCCGGGTTGCAGCTCCTAAACTTTGGAATGCACTTCCCCGTACCATTTGTGAATCTACCTGCCTTGCGGTATTTAAACTAAGACTTAAAACACGCCTTTTTCAAACCTTGTAATTTTTTATTTTGTTTTTTCATATTTTTGATAAGCTATTTAGTTACCCAACACACCATAGAGCATCTGTGAGTTGTGATCTTGCCAACTGCTGCTTAATTGCCAGTGGTCTCAAATTGCAGGTAAACGATCGCAATGGTGTTGGCTCTTCTGCAATAGTCTGTCTCTTCTGACTTTTAGTTTCTGTGTAGCCTAGGAGAGCTTTGTTTTTTTCTTGTTTTGTGCATAGAGACCATGCACTTTGCGCTATATTAGTCTCCAACGATTACCATAACCATTAGTAATAATGATTATGCAATCAAGCAAAAAATAAACCAACTTTGTGTTGCCTGTGTTCTGACTGATTGATCTAAAAAATCTAGATCATCAGACCGCCATTGACTGATTCTTCAAAACTGACATGGAGACGACATATTGTACAGCACTGTGATTTGATTGTTGCTTGTTAGTTGTTAAATCAGTTCATCAAAATATCCAGGGTACATTCATCGTAAATGGACAAAGAGGTGTTCAACTTTCATTTTTCCATATTTTTTCTGTTGAGCATTTCATGGTTTTTTTGTATTTGACAATAAAGTTTGATAATAAATATAATAAAATACTAAATAATTATAAAACTTGATTTGCATATGAAAGCCTCTTCTTCAATTATACTCTCCAACATCTCTTTGGAGGAACCAACTTGGCAAGGTTTATGATCATTCTTATAATTGATGTTCCACATTTATGTTCAACCTGAGATCATTTTTTGCTCTCTCCGTTCCCCACGCGTCCTTTTGGCCATAAATCTTTTTCCTTTGCTGCACCTACACATTAAAAACCGTTCTTGTTGCTTCATTATATTATTATTATTAATTATTATGTTATAAGATTTTAATATTATTTCTGACGTGAGAACGAAAATAATAAGAATTGTAGTCATAAGTAAATCTCTGTCCAGATTTTCAAATTTTCTGTTGTATGCCCATATAAATTCATGATGTGCCTTTATATGGTCATGATGTGATGTCATCATGACCATATTTAGGCATATCACATGTTTTGTCAAATAAAATTCAATAATAAATAATGTTAATTTTTTTTTGTTTTTTTGTAGGAATTAGCCATCTCCCGCAAGATGTGTCCACAAGGAAAGAAATGTATGGAACCAACTCCTTGTACGAAGTTGAGGAGGCCGGCGTCCACGGAAGTATATGGAGCATTATCCAATCACAACTCCTGAAAGAAGTGCGTCTCGTGGTGATCCTGGTGCTTGCAGTTATCTCCTTTGGATTGTCATTTGGGGACAGTGATCTGATGAAATGTAAGTTTAAAGTTAATACTATACTAAATATGGTCATGATAACATCACATTATTACCATAAATAGGTACATCAAGGATATGCAAACAACAGTTTTATTATTATGTTGTTCAGACAGGATCATTTTGATATGCATTATTTTCCTCATTAACTTCCTTGTTTGAAATATTGAATAACAATTGCTTTCATCATATTCTTGGGATTTTCTGTATTTTTTTGTTTTTTGGCGTTTTTTGTATTATCAGTGGTTGTCGTCATTTTAAAATCATTATCATCACCTTCCCTTCTTTGAATACACCTGAAAGAATGTTATGTGCAGAGTTAATAGCAAAACACAACTTTCCAGAAAACATACATTGTTAAAATGTACAAGTAGACTTTTGCATTTGAAACAACTCATAAATATTATTATACTTTTAAATATTTAATGATATGTCATTTTTACATTATAACAATTTGATCATGCAGATTTTGTACCTGTAATGCACCAAGGAGTTTAAAAATTGGCCTGGAAAAGACCTGGACTCACTACCACATAGTGGTGAGACTTACTATGATGAATACAGGACTCCTTTACCTTCAAATTTGATTCCTCTTGTAATCCTCAGATTCATACTTTTTTGACATGGAGGAACAGAAGAGGGCGGGCTGGATTGGAGCTCTTTGTCTGTTCGTGCTTACCCTCTTCATATTTACGTTTCAAGTTGTTTCTACATACTTTCTTGATGCACAGTACTCCATAACGCAGAGAAAGCGTCAGTTGTTTTCAATGGCACAAGTGTACACTATCCGCGGAAGCGCTGGGGTGTATCAGCCTAGGGATGAGATTGTTGTTGGTGATATTATTTATGTCAAATGTGGTAGGTTTCATTGTAATTATCAGAATATTGTCTTATTTTCTGAACCCCTTTCTCACATTCTGCTTATCGTTTTCCTTTCCCATTCTCTTTTTTCTACCCTAAAGGAGCTCTAGAACCATTCTGCTGATTGAATGATAGATCTTTTTTAGCTCTACCGCCTCTTATACTGCTGCCATTAGGCTGATTTATTGATAGTTGATTAAATAGATCTCGTCAGACTAATTTCTTCCTATTGATATTAACCTAATTATATATTCGTTTACCAAGTCCTCCAGGCCCCAGACTGTTTCAAAACTTACCAACTGTAGACTTGTACTGTAAACAATTCTTTTTTTAATTGGTTGTCATTAAGCAATTTTTCTGATTGATTGATTGATTGATTGATTTGTGTTGCAGGAAGCACTGTGCCTGCAGACGGCCTGATCATCTACAGCAATAACTTGAAAGTGAATGAGTTCCGTGTGACAGGACTCGATACCTTGGTTGATAAGTCAGCGAATGGTGATGCTATACTCCTCAAAGGTTTGTGTATTTTTGTAATCAGCGGTTTAGGAGTCTGGTTTTTGCTGTTCGGGGTTGGTGCACAACATTGAAGCTCGGAAATTTAAATCAATCTTTATTGTTAAACAATGTAAAATATACTGTTTGAAATTTCAGTTGTTTGTTCACAGAGATATATATATATATATATATATATATATATATATATATATATATATGTATATATACGTATATATACATACACACAAACACACACACTTACTGATAAAATCAGTACTTCATTACGTTCCTCGTGTTAATTAAAAAAAAAATTCTTTATCCTTTATCCTTACTCCAACCGGAAATCAGAAATTTGGTCTGAGACCTTTGGGACCCATGGTAGTCACATTGCAGTACAGTACAACATAACAGATTATTATTATTATTATTGACTTAATAACGCTGACTTTTGTCTTTGTCTTGATGTTTAGTCATTTTAATATTTTTCCTTCTTCTGTATTTTATTGACATTTTAAAGAGGGCCCCTGAACATCAACTGACCTCCGTGTTTAGCTGGAAGAGCTACCCTCTATAAATAAAGTTGAAAGAAATAAAAAATAAACAGACACATATGGACACAAAACAACAACATAACAACATAACAGACACATATGGACACAAAATTGTCCATAATCTGCCTGACTCTCAATGCGGTGGTTATTTGAGGAGCTATTAATTAAAACCCTACATTGACCTGGTTTGAACAGGGGTCTTTACCACAAGCAGGAACAGTACCTTTTGGCCAACTGCTCATCTCTACCCAGCAGTATCAATAGAAAATGTGGCATTGATATATAACACTGTGCTGTGTTGGCTTAATTTTCAAATTGATTCGCATCATGTTGGTTTAATGCAAGTAGTTTCTCTCCGTAGGGTCGAAGGTTATTGATGGGCGTGCCAGAATGGTGGTGCTGCAAGTAGGCCGACATACTAAGCTGGGTAAGATAGACATCGGTGTGGACAAAGGTGTCAATAATGCTGCTTTTAATCCTAATGAATTTGCACCACATTCTGTTGGCACTGAATCAGGGGGTAAGCTTGTGCATGTACCTCTATTAATGTAATTATCAATGCCACCAAATGTAACGTGCCCACTATGTGGTGATGGTAGAATTGGCGTTAAGCAGGGCGACAACGAGGACCCAATTCAACCATGACCTCATATATTTTTGTTAATAAGTACCCATGCAACCTAAAAAAATAAACAGACAATAAATATAGTTTGTTTCCATTCACTAAGTGGAAATTATTACACAGATGTTCAAATTAATGGATAAATGGAATAATGAGCTTTGCAATATTTTACACCGATATGCAAAGTCACATTAAATACAGCAAAGTCGAGATTACTGTTTAAAAAAGTTGGTGTCATTGATAATTTTATTTTTCTTTAAGTTTTATTCATTTACATTCATTTGTTTTTTGCACATTATTTTCATGTTAACAATTTCTATCATAGTTTTGTAATCATACATTTTTATGTATTGAAAACCTTGTAAAGTCTGCATGGCAAAAACAAATCTTATTAACCTTAATATCTTTGTATTAGTAGTAAAATATATTTGTCTTTATCATTAGTATAAATATTGAATAATTCAAATTATATTTTGGGTTATTTTTATTGGAAATTAATTTTGCTCATATTTTTGCTTAAATTGGTCATGGAATTTGGTGTTTGAGCTATGGAATTTTGGGAAATATGCGCTGCAATTTGATGATGGATTTAGCTTTAGTTAATGAGTCTTGCCAATTGGCAAAATAAAAACATTATATTAGCATTATATCATTTAAGTAAAACACATTTGTTTAATTTAAGGCACATGTTTAAATGAAACAAATGTGTTAGTTTTATTTGTTTCATTCAAACAGACTCCCTCAAGCAAGCAAGATTTTTTTCTTAAAATAACCCATCATGATATTTGCATGTTTATACTACTTTATTATCCATTGTCTTGTGGATGTCAGTGCCAATGTATATCACCTTGCGAAGCAAAATAAAATTCATTAAACAAGATTTCCTGGAAGCAACATTTTCTTGATGTTTTTGTCCTGCCAAGGAAAACAGCTTTCATGAGTTTTATAATTTCAATTCATGAAGAATAAAGTGATCTGATGTCTTCCAACTGCATTTGAATTAATATACATCATCATTATAACTAAAAGGACTACTACTGAATAATTTGTTAGCAAGAATATTAATAATGATGATTTAAATGTTATTAATGTTTGGTTCATTATGAATTTAGATGTTACACATTGTGAATATATCTATGAATATCAATTTTTCGTTTTTAAATGCGGACCTTCTCCAGTTTTTGCGCGGTTCGTCGTAACCCCCTTAACCCCCATCCCACGCTATGGGCCTGGCCTTGATGTTCTCTTATTTCATCAGCTCCATGGCCAGTAATCATTCACTGGAAGGGGCCGAAAATTGCCCAGAGACATTTGGAAATCTGTGCCAATCAGCAATTTTATTCTTTTTTTGTTAGTATAAGCCTAATTCTAAGATTGATACCCCATGTATTTTGGTTGATAAAACATTAACTACAAATTTAGGAAAAGGTATCAAATTTACTATTCAAAGCTTAAATCGTGGCCTTCTAAAACATCATACAATTATTTTTGGGGCTGTCCTCACGAAAATATATGTTTTAACTGAAAAATCTGACCCTAGTTTTTCAGGATTCTGGGTCAGGTTTGAGCCACATAATGTTGTATTTTTTTTTACCTGATATGCCAGAGAAAAATAGAAACATCATCAGAGGCATTGATAGCAATTATGCTAATTATATCACAATGATAAAGCTCCATGGTGAGACAGATGTAACCATGTATATGACATAATCCTGCCTTTAATAGATATCGCCAGGTCTAGCGAAGTTCAGGTGAACATAGCAGGTAACGAGGGTGGCAACACTAGCGATGTTGCCACGCAGGCAGCGCCCCGTGCATACTCACCTCTAGGCAGCCAGCCAATCAGAAACAAGAAGAAGAAAAGTGTCTTGACGCAAGATTTGAACCGTGTTTCAAAATATGTGTTAATAACAGGTAAATGGCATCTCAGCTGTAGTAACAGATATGCATGCAATTAAAATATAAATATTATTTTACATATAATATAAATGTTTATTAAATTTGTATACTGTCCTATGAAGAATTCCTCATACATAGTTAAGTTGAATTGCTCATTTTTAGGGTTTACAAAAGTTTTAAAATTTTTTTAGTGGTTTTACCTTGAATTTTATAGTTGACTTTCAACAAGAAATATCATACCTGTCAACCTTAAGAAATTTCAAAGACTAAGATCGGTTGACACATAATGAGTGCCAAAGGCACGAACAGTGGTTGAGGGCCAGGGGGCTGCCTAGGGTTCCCAGTTGGGGGTCGGGGTCCAGGGGCCAGAGGTTCCTGGACGCTTTAGATTAAATTGCATATCTAATCGATGTTAATGAGTTTACAATGATCTCAGATACAGTAGTTATTGAAACATGGAGGTAGAATGTTATGATGATGAATGTTAGTTATAGTGAAATTCATTACAAATTGAAAAAGAATCTCAAGTTTTAGGATAAGCGTAAGCTTTTCCAGTGTTTGCGTAAGACTTAACGGCAAATGCAAAAGGGGTCAGACAGGTCTGAAATATTTAAGTAAATTTCCATTCAATATGCACAAGATTTGCATAGGAATTATACCAACTTATGTAAAAAAAGAACTCAGCCAAACTCATCCAGTGGCAGGTTCAGAGGGGTACCCCCCACCCAAGGTTTTATTTATTTATTTATTTGTTTATTTTCAGTAGCTTAGTCAGTACTGCTTTTCAAAATAGTCCAGTTTTCTCAACAAAGTTAAGGATATAAAGACAAGTAAATTAAAAAAACAGAACAAAAAAGTATCAAAAAAGGAGAAAAGAAAAAAGAAAAACCCAAATTATACATGGCACGATAAGCAACAAAAAGTTTCAAATTACAAAAATTAAGCAATGCATATTCATGTCACTTGATGCAACGGCCAAGAAACCTAGAGCAGATGGTTGTCTTGATTGAGTAATATTTATTTGTAATATAAATATTATTCTTATTAATGTTTTCATTATTATTATTAAATTCTTTATACTTTCCAGCAATCGTACTGTGCATTCTGATTGGCCTAGCTGTTGTCATCAACTTCTGTTACCAGACGTTTGTTAATGATGGCAGTACCTGGGATATCAAGTACTTGAAGGACATCGTGGATCTTGTCATTGTCACCGTCACTGTCTTCACCATCACTTACCCTTCATTTCTGCCATCCATATACCATCACATCTGTAAGATGTCGGCTCATGTAAGACAAACATATATCTTTAAGTTTGTGTTTAGTTGTCATGTAATAGTTAATTATAATGCGGCTACATGCATTATTCCACTCAGTATTTCCTTATCCACTTCCTCCTACCCCCTTCAACCCCTTCTTCCTACCAGCTTCAACCCCTTCCTCCTACCCCCTCTCACCCCTTTCTCCTACTCCCTTTGACCCTTCCTCCTATCCCCTTCTACCTCCTACCCCTTCTTCCTACACCCTTCATTAAACATTAAACTAAATAACCTGAATAATAAAGTACATTTTAATGTATGTATTGTAGGTTGTCTTTTACTGGAGAAAAAAACATGTCCCAATGAATGCGATAGAATTTAGTTATTGTATTTTATTATAAATAATTTATTACTTTATATTACTTTACTGTTATTTATGTTATTTTCAATCCTATACATTTATTTTCTGGGTTTGACATACAGGAAATTCGACATGACCAAATATACGTCTGCAATGTGGAAGCATATGGAATTATGGGTAATATTACAACACTTTTGACAAACAAGACTGGAGTTATCACCGAGAACTATATGCGTGTTGAAGATATCTTTATCTTTAATGAAATGCTGCACATAAATTGGCCAGAGAGGCCACACAACCTCATTAGCAAACTAGAGATGACCAATGCAACCTTGTTGCTTACTGAAGGAATGTCTGTGAATACTGATTATACATCTCAAATAATAGAGGTGAGTGGACACGCAGTATTTAGTCACACCTGGTCATGTGATTGATAATAGAGGTGTGTGGACAGGCAGTATTTAGCCACACCTGGTCATGTGATTGATAATAGAGGTGAATGGACACGCAGTATTTAGTCACACCTGGTCATGTTATTAAAAATACAGATCACGCATGCCTCTATTTTCTTCCATTTGTCTTCATTGTTGCTATTAGTATTATTAGTATTATTTAATTGTATAATTACTAAATAACAGTAAATTCATTAATTTTTTTTTAATGCCTTCTCATGCAAAACAGAACCCTGGGTATAGTAACCTAGAACACGTTGGTGACAGGACAGACTGTGCTCTTCTGGAGTTTGTGAATATTCTAGGCGGACATTATCGAGCATTTCGAGACAGTAACCCCGAGGATAAAGTGATGCGTGTGTACCCCTTCAACACCAGTAGAAAAATGATGTGTAGCGTTATTGCAAAAGAAGATTTGAATGTAAACCGAGTTTATTGCAAAGGAGCTGCTGAGCGAGTGCTTAAAAGGTTTGTCAAGCAATCGATAGAATTGTCACTAGAACCCTATTGAGTCATTCTTACAGTGGTGGTGACAAACCATGATGATGTCACAAATGATGGTGGTATAGTGACAATCTTGACATGATGGTGACAACTATGATGATGGTACGAATGGTGATAAAAGTGACAAAATGGACAATGACATGGTGGCAGCCATGATGACAGTGATGATGAAGGCAATGAAGTGATAATGAGAATTTGATGTTACCATCAATGATAGCGATGATGATGATGGTGATAGAATGAGAGTGGTGGCAATGGGGTAGTGGTATTGTTCATTCATTTATTCATTTTTAATTTCCACCTTTCAATAAAAATCACAATACAATTGGAAAATACTTGGTTGTATTAATGTCCCCTGTACTTTTTAGATCAAATTTTTTTTTTTTTTTTTTTTAAAGTAGTACGTAGGTTTGCACTGTCCAGTTAACTACAAAACCTGTAGAGGTATTGATGATTATTTTTAAAAACATGATATAATCATAGAATAACTTAATTTCCCTCCATATAGATGCACAACATTCCTTGACAGTAAAGGTATGCCACGCCTATTGGACGGTGAAACTCGAGCTCAGTTAATTTCAAAAATAGAGGAGATGTCCATGAGAAAACTACGCACAATATGTTTGGCTTATCGAGACATGAGTATCGAAAGTACCGAGGAAGAAAGTGTAGACTTGGCACGTGAAGATGAGGTCATTTCAGATTTGACTTGTATCGCTTTGCTTGGAATTTCTGACCGCGTTCGTCAACAGGTATCAGGAACTTGTGTTAAATAATTTTGATGATAGTTCAAACATATGAACAGATAGATATTGTATAAAATATTAGAATTTTTATGGGAAAGAAATTATTTCATGCTTTCTGGTCATGTGGCCAATTGTTTATGTTGTCATCTACCTCTCTTAAGTTCATGTACTGTAGCATTCCTTTGCTATTGATGATTAAAATAGTAATTATATGATAATGATATGAAAAAGAGTTGTTGCTTCAGAGTGCATCTCACATTGAAAGTCAACAACAATGTAACGAAAGAAAATTACAATAAATCATATCTCCTAGGTCACTTCAGACAACCAGGTTTTCTCTTCCTTCTTTAAATACATTTAAACAATACTTTATCCAGTTCCTCAGTCATTTAGGAAGTACTATTCACTAAGTCACATCAATCGTATAAGTTAGATCAATATTTTTTTTAATTTTTTTAATTTATCTTTGTTTATTTAAAATAAATTAAATTATGATAATAATTACATTATAATGATATGGAAAAGAGTTGTTGGTTCAAAACGAAATACTATTCACTAGATTATTCCAATCGTATAAGTTAGATCAATATTTTTTATAATTTTTATAATTTATTTGTGTTTATTTCACTATGACAGTCCTAAATATGGTTATGATGACATCACACCATGACCATATGAGGCCGGTTGTGGCAAAATGGCCAAGTTGTAGCAAAAATTGAAATTCAAGTTGTTGGTATTTTCATATACCTGCGTATGTGATCTTTAAAATGAGGGGTCATTCATTGAAATTAGACATTTCAAGCCTACGTTATTGGAAAGTGAAAGTACAGTACTCTTAGAGTCAAGATAAACATGATTTTGAGTAATTGCCTATCAAAGTTATTTGTGTATACGTTGTTTAATAGAATGAGCTATCAAAATAACATTAAATAAACAATTTGTTGACCACTTCCAGAACTAATACTTTGGTACCTGATTAATAAGACATTAAACTGTTGATCTATAGTGAAAAACAAATTTGGATTTTTAGGCAATTTTTTGAGCTCCCATATTTTATAGCTCATTTACTCAATACTGGACTGTGCGACAACTTAACCATTTTGCCACGACATGCCTCATATATAGGCACATCATGACTATATATGGGCATACAACATTTTTGTCCAATAAAATTTGATAGACTAGACAGAACTTTTTAGAATCAATCCTATACAGACCAGTCCTATGACACTGAGTAAACATTCTCATTTTATTGTAGGCTGCTAAGTATGTCAGAGCCCTTCAGCGCAGCGGTATCAGGATCACCATGGTAACTGGAGATGTACTTCAGACAGCTGGAGCAGTAGCAAGGGAGTCTGGAATTGTTCGGAGCAACAAGGATCTGTGTCTTAATTCCGATACTTTCAACTTGAAAATCCATGGACTTCCAATGGTAAGTTTGTGTACATTTTTTAAAGAACTACTGTAGTGGGTATAAGTGAAAAGAAGAATGGCAAGACGTCCAACTTTTTGGTTTTCTTAAAAAAGAATCCTGTCTCAAAAAGTTCTACCATGATTGTAATTCATGTAAAAGTTTGTATCTAAACACATGCTGCGTCTATAGAATTTTCACCAATTTAAATCCTAAGGTCTTGCGGGAATCTCCGTTCAACCCCATGACTCCATCTGATGGTATACTTCTGAACCTTACTAGAGGCCTATTGGTTTGACTCCTAGAATTGTTGGACTATAGGCAAATTTCTAGAGTCTAGATGCAGGGTTCCCGGAACGCTGCCCTCAGCAGCGTGCGCGAAGCACGACTCAGAGCCAGAAGTGGAACATGAAATTTCAATATGGTTTTGTAGTCAGATTTGCGAGAAAAATTTTAGCTACCCGTATTTCTCGACTGAGACGTCAGTGGGAGCTGTAATTTGTATGGCAAGGAGATGGTGCTACCCTTAATTCGTATAAAGGGAATTTACGTCCACAAACCTTGTAGTTATTAATATTTTGGTTATAATAGAAAATTTTTATTTTTTGGTGACGTCACACTCACAATATAGTTAGCATGCATACGTCATAAGCTAGATTACATCACCTTTTCCTGGTAAGGCAAACTTTCCAGGTGTGCTTTTTTCATGGATAAACAAACACCACTGCTTTGCACATGCATGCCTTGCCTGTCTAGGGCTACAAGAGCCGCATTGTTAGCATTGTATAACACTTAAACAAGGTACCTCTGCAACTGAATTATTCTTAGTTATTGTTTTTTTCTTATTTTAATTTATTTCTTTCGAAAGTGTATTTTCTGTCACATATAATTGCACAGTCTACTTAGGCCTAGGCCAGTCTTATGCCTCATCTTCCCCCGCTACACAGTACATCAGTAGGCTAGGCCCCCCACGCTACAGTACAGATGTTTGCTAGGCAAGAGAACGTGATTGCACCTTACTTCCCAGGTGTTCATGTAACATTTGCATATTGTTAGCTAACCAGTTGTGTGTATTCCTTTGTGAAAATGAGTACCGTGGCGTACTCATTTTCACAAAGTATTTGCATCCCATCTTGGAAAGAGGGAACTTAGAAATAATTGTCTCCATATCTTTGCTAATTAATCACCGTAATTTAGCTCACACTTATGCATGGAGGGAGCACTTAAAATGTACAATAATCATTTCACTACCCGGCAAACCCCAAACTTTATTCATGCATTACATAAATAGTTTCATCTTGCTGTACTCCAACATCACTGGTGCATGGTAACAACCAACTGACTGCAGACCATTTCCGGTCACACATTACTTACTCTCCATAACACAGCACCCCCTAGTTCCATCACCTCTGGATGGAAACATTGGAGTAGGGAACCATGGTAAGGAGGTCATTGACCCACATGTTCAAAACCACACAATTGATAAGAAGCCACATGGATAGTAAATATGAAATATATTATTTTGATCAAATCAATATGATAATTGTTTTTGTATAATTCCAGAATGAACCAGTATATGCTACATCTATCACAGATAATCATAAGGTAGGATATGTCATTCTTATTTTAGTAGACATTTCTTCATGCATTTCAATACAAAACAAAAACATATATGTAGGTATTTACACATTTTTGTATTCTAGTTCCCTGGTTCTCAATCCTTTTCAGGTTGGAGTCCATTTTTAAACTGCTCAAAATGTCCCATACGTGTCCCAATGGAAATGCTGTTGGCTTGAGAGTCAAACGTCCTACCCTGCCCCATCATGATTGGGACTGATGTAAGAATCCTATAAAAATATGAACCCTCTAGATGCCTGGCAATGGCAATCTAATACATTGTGATTATAATATATGGAATAATTCTTTTTGTTTATAAATTGAATTTTTATTTTACTTCAATTTTTCAATTTTTGTGAAAACAGAACAATCCATACAGGATGTAGTTAATATTTCCTCACTTGGAACATGTTTGAAAAAGTACATGGAGTGTGCTGTGTCTATTATTACTTAAATGCATTCTTTGTGAAATGGAAATTGAGAAAAACCCAAACATCCATACAAGACCTAGTTAATATTCCTTTACATTGAACATAATTGATAAATATAAGGTTTAATGTATACATTATTTATATTGATAATAATTTTAGATAATATATGCAGAATTTAACAAGATATGGCCACGTCTCAAAGTCCTTGCTCAAGCTCAGCCAGAAGACAAGCAGTGCCTTGCCAGAAAGATACCTGCCGCACCGTCTGAGCTTCAGCCCCAGCTGGTTGCAGTTACTGGACGTTACATTGGGGATGAGGAGACACTGGCTGAGGCTGACCTTGGCATTGCTCTCGTAAGTTTTTGCGATCTTTGGAGGATCTTATTTTGGAGGTTGTTTCTTTTGGAGATGGGCTTCTTTTTGAGATGGGCTTTTTTTTTGGTCTTTTTTTTAGGCTACTTTTACAAGTTAAAAAGAAATGGGGCTTTTCAAAATGAATGCTGTAATAATCTAACAATTTGCCCTTACTTTAAAGTGCTAAGACTAGAAAATAATATTTTAATACAGTGATCTTCAACAAAAAATTTGGTTAAATCAAGCTGAAGATTTTTCTGTGTATAGATTATACAACATTAAACAATCAAATATTTTTGTTTTAAATTCTGTGTTGACCTGTGTTTTATGAAGTGTCTCAAGCATTGCTGGTTATTGTTATAGGTACACAGAATATATTGATATCATGTATACATATGGGGAAAATGCTGCAGAGATATGGAGGGGTGGGGGTCGAGGTGGTGGTCAGGGTTGGATCCAGAATGGGGCGGGGGCATAGCAGTTTCAGGATAGTTAAGTAAGAGTACATGACATTGATATGCATTGAAATTTTTAAGATTTAGTGGCAAAACGGGGAACGTGCCCCCTACTTGAGGGCAGCAGACTATAATAATATTTAATAATTGAATACTTGTACAGTTTTGTCACAATCATTTGTTATTGCAACTCTGTGTGGATAATAGGAAATAACTGTTATCCCATATACATACTTGATTTGATCTTCTGGTTTATCTATTCTTTTGATGAAAGTTCCGTCTTTATGGAATAGCTGTAGTTTGTGGTCACTTGATATAATGATGTTGTCATCCTCATCAACTACAAGTCTACAAGGATTCCTCACCTTACCGTTCTTTTCACCTGATTTGACAAGCACCTTCATGAACCTTCCCTCTTTATCAAAAAGTTGTATCCTACTGTTGAAACACTCCACTAAAATAACATTTCCTTGGTTTGTAAAAGTAACATCAGTAACTGCATTCATTTCTCCGACTCGATTGCCCTTTGACCCTATCTTCTTTACCATATGACCACTATTAATGTCAAACAAGAACACACAGCCAATATTCCAATCTCCTACATACACAACATTTGATGCCTCATCCACATGGATACCAGATGGATTCTTAAATATTCCCTGACCAATTGATTTTATCAGCTGTCCATTCATATTGCATACTTTGATGCATTTAATACCATCAATGAATACTATGTTACCATTAAACATTTTGTACATTCTATCAACTCGTATACCTTGTGGTAATGTAACCTTACCAATATATTCTCCTGATTGCTTGTATTTTAATATTTCATTGGTCCAGCATGAAACTAGCAAGCAATCATCTTCACACTTAACTACATCTCTGACATCTCTAACATTTTTTTGGTCTAATTTAATGGTATTTACTAATCCTTTCTTCTCTACTTGAATTATCAATGGTGACTGCTTGATTGGTTCGCCATAAGCACTCACATCTATTTTACAAACACCTGGACTTTTGCATTTTCCTGTCATAAAATAACCTCCATTGTCATCTTCTTGAACTTGTGCGATGTAGGCATCTCCTGTAGGCTGTGTCCATGTTGCCTTCAGTTGATCTGCATGTATTTCACATTCGTCTGTTTTAATTATTTTGACAAATATTATCTGCCCTTTGGTCACAGATTTCTGGCCCTTTAATGTTAGACAGTCTGCTGCCCCTGATTGTGCTACATATCCAATATCACTTTGTTGCAATGTTGAAATTTGTTGTTTGTTAATGTAGAATTTAATGAGTCTCTTATCAGTTGGACTTGTTTTTGGAAATTCACTGATTTTTTCCTTCAGTGCTGTAATCTCCTTTTGACTTGATTCTATTACTAAAGGTTCTTTACTTTTCATTAACTGATTGAGAAAATTTAGTTTTGTGTCAATGTCAAAAATCATTGTTTTCAGTTCATCTTTTTGGGCATTGTTTACTTTATTTTTCTTTTGGTAAATTGTCTTCACTTCATTTTTCATTTTGTCTCCATTCCCCTTGATTGTCTTTACCATTTCTTCTACCTGATTGTCTATATCTCTCAAACATTTGTCTTTGCTTTGTTCTAATTTTGTAGAATTCTCAATGACTGTTTCCAGACCATCTTTTAATTTGTCTTTGATGTTATAGGCAGCTTTCTCCAATGGTGCCAAAGTTTCTTGAAATTGTTTTAATGCTTCTGAAACATTGATTGTTTTGTGTTTCCCTTCCCAGGCATTGTGGTTCGAAGTTTTACATTGCATACAGATTGAAATTTTACAGTCTTTGCAATAGAATTCCAATGGTTTTTCGTGAAGCAAACACATTGGAGGATGTAGTGATGCTTTTTGTAAGTGGCTCATTGATGACATATCCTCCAATGAAATTAGCTTGTGTTTTGCAAAGAGTCTAAAGTCTTTATGATGGTCACCACAAATAGAACACAAATGTTGTTTGCAATCTTCACAGTAGTATTTTGCATATCCTTTTCCACAAACACATTTTATCTGATCTGTTTTCGAAAAGTGCTCAATTGTTTCTAATAAGTTATTTAGAATGGTATTTGGTGGGAGCTTCTGAAGCCCGCCCTCTGGAATAGGATATGATTTTGAGCAAGTTGGGCAGGTCAGCTTACCCTTCTCCTTAACCCAGTCTTCCAGGCACGCCAAACAAAAAGTATGGAGGCAGGTAAGGGATTTAGGATTTTTAAATCTCTTAAAGCAGATAGTACACTCCAAGTTCTCATCAACAATTTCCACAAACTGTAAATCGCTGGTAGCCATCTTGAAATAATTCTGTGAATTATAAATACAGTTTTTAAGTTCAGTATTCAGTTTGCTCTTGTATATATTGCTACATCCTTGTTCTCTTAATGCTAGCTATGTAATCTGCAACGAGAAAAGAATATATTTAAATGTTATTCATGCTATGATGATACAATAGTGTAGAGGTTGCAGTTTTTATTTATTTATTTTTTAATTTCTAAAACCAAACTAACAACAGATGAGATTCGCCACTTAAAGGAGGGTAAATAATAAGATCAACAAGTAGAATAATAAATGAAAAACCTGCACAAAATACATAATACAATATCTAAGTTTGTACAAAAACATGACAGAAAAAAACAACATTAAAATATACTGAAAAATTTCTTCCTGAACTGATGCAGGGAATTTTAAAAGATATCTAAATCATTAAACATTCCTAAAGAAGAATTTTAAGCTTTACTTATTCTGCAAAATAATCCATTTAAAGGAACCTAAAATATAGGTTTTGTTCTTAATCTGCGGATTAAGATGCTGGTAAAAAAAAAAGAAGAAATAAATTGACAATTAAAGTTGCTATGTACAGAATTAATCCTTAATCTGATTGAATTAACGCATATGTTTAAGCTTGCAGTACACGACGTAGGTAGTTCTGAAAAGAACTGTTGTAGTTGAGAAAGTCTCGACGTTTTGATTGATTTGCTTTAATCATCTTCAGGAGAATGATATCTGCAGAAATTCCAAATAGGGAAATACTTATAATTATGTTTGGGTAGAGATGCTGGCTGTTAATTGGATGAATAAACTGACCAATGAGAAGACTGCTAGTGAAAGGCTAAAACAAAAGCCATTGTTCACTGAGGGAAAGTAGACATACAATTTTGATTGAAATAGACATACAATACCAGATATTGTTTCTTGGAAATTATTAGAACTTTCAGCCTCTCTAGAATAGGCGAGCGATTAAGTCAGGGGCAGCTATAATATCAGCGCTGGTTCAAACGGCTCATTTGCCAATGGTTCTGGAGGTGGAACAAGTCTTCTCGGATAAGGACTTTAAACTGTAGGCCCAGTGTACGCATTTGGCTCGTGTGCACTTTAAACAACCCAGTACTTCCTGAGAAGAGTAGGGGCTAACCCCTGTGTACTGTCCCATTCAGTCCCCTGTTGTTAATGGATATGCCACGTAGGATGGGGATTAGGTTCACTGATTGGCATATTTTTGGCGCTTGTGCCTAAATAAATGAAATAAAATGAATAAACCAGCCCTACAAAAACCCATTTTAACAATAAATTCTCCGGGCGCTTATTCGAACTAAGTACTTCATTCCAGTGTTACTAATGTGTAATGGTAATTACTGTAGGTGTTATATTTCTAAAGTACTTTACACAATTTAAATCATCATAAGTCGCTAATAAATATAAAAAAATATAAATATTGAGGATTAAACTAATTTATTAATTTAATAATTAATAATCTATTAATAATTTATATTGCACATATTCCAATGAAATGTATGTTCAAATGTTACAATAAAATATACAATAATACAAATTTACAATATAAAAAAAGAGATATAAAAAAATTATGAACGGCTAAAATTTGTACAGCATTGGGTCAATTGTATTGCATCACACTTACACAAAATTTAAAATTCACGCAAGTCTAATCGGTGACAAGACAGAACAAATTAAAAACCATGAAACAACTTCAAACTTACCTAGGTAAACAACTGAGAAAAGAAGCAAGAATTTGAACAAAACGCCATTAATTAATCAAATAGCTGTTGATGTGACTGTGGGTTTTCCCAGGTTTTGTGTATCAGATCGTGTGAATGGTATAGCTGGGCTCTTTAGTGTGCAGCGAACTGTGACTTGGTGAAATCTGCATACAGAGATTTTTAACAATGTGAAATTCAATAAACATTCAATACATTTTTGCTTTGCATCACAATACACATATAGATTAGTGAAGCCTAAAAATGTGAAAGCTATTAAACATGAATAAACTGCTATCTCCATTTATAGTGTGCAGTGTGAACCTTATATGCAATCACTACTATAATATTAAAAGGAAGTGTTTTTTTATTTTCTGCTTCAGGAAACACTGTTGAATGTTTAAAGTTGACATTGCTATCTATTATGCCTAACTCAATCGCTATATATTTATTGCAGCTGTCAATTCCCTTTTTCTTTTTTATGCAAATGGCTCACTGTCACTCTAGTTTTGTTGTAACTTTAGGTAGACTACTAATTTATTCAAGTAATTTTTATCATTAAATCAATAGGGCCGGACAGTACATAAATATTCTGCGTAAAATATTTAATGTTTTCAATATTATTTTTATATGTTGTTCAATATTCAATATATCATTTGTATACATATAAAATAATTGTCTAAAATGGTCACATACAACATCTGTTTAAAAAATAATAAAAATGCGAGATTTAACACAAAAATATATCTGACATAATTCAAATTTCTTCAGTTCCTATTACTTTCTGAGCGGACTTGCTGATCTTAAGAACTTTCTTCATATGCACTTTATTTAGACAGTTACAATACTAATGCACTGATCGTTAAGACAGATAAAATTACAGATTCATAAACTAGTGTGATGATCTTGTTGCATATATGAAATTTTGTATTCTTCTTAAAAAGTAGAGCCTCTTGTAACACTTACTGGTGAATTGCTTAGTGCTCTCCTTCCAGTTTATCATCTATAACCATGCCTAGTTATTTATGATCTCTATTAGACCACTTCAAATTTATCAATTTTAGATTATATAATACATACTCCAAGCTCCAGCATTTTGTATTCCATGTCCCATGAACCGTAAACAGTTACGCTCTAAAGAGGTATACTGTTCTTTGTAGTAATTCTTTTTTTTCACAAATGGATACATACAATAGAACCACAGTATATAACACAAGATGAGCAGATATCTAATATATAGAAAAACCAAAAACTGAATACAAAAAAAAGAGTTTTACCTACCGTGGTACCTATGTCGAATTTAAACAGTTATTTTATCTTGAGTGTACAATTTCACTCTGTTTGCTCACCTTGTATATAATGTAAAATGATTTTTTTAGTATTTATGTATTGTGTTTCTTAACCTTCTGTTCTTGATACTTAACTACTACATAAGAAGGTATAATGCATGCTCCAGGTGTTGAGATGCGTGCCATCGTGTTTGGGATTCAGCGTCATCATCAGGCATGATGACATGATTGATGTCGGAGTGCTGGGTCCGGGCGCGCTGGTGTGCATTTGGTTGCTTGGAGAGTGTATTATACTTTCTTATCTGAAATTTTTTTACTACATTGTGTTTGCATTTATAGTTTTGTACTACTTATATTTATACAGCCTTGCATGGCCTTGATGAAAAACACCCTAGGGTGAATCAATTTTTACCGTGTTGAAATAAAGTATTTATTATTATTATTATTATTAATTTGTATATTACTGATAACACAAGTCTCAATAATAAGAATGATAATGATGATGATGATAATAATATTGAAAGTAGCAAAATTATATGTTTTGCTAAACCAGTTAGTTGCTTACCTTAGCAACAGTTTTTGCAATTGCTTTTGTCACTTTCTTCAGGCTAATGAACTCTTGATTGAATTGGGTCATTCACACTTCGGTGAGCAACAGTCGAAGTAAGAATGAAATGGCCATTGACTCCAAGGAGATAGTCATCCATTTCTACTGCTCTTGCTGCATGATAGCAGGAAAACAAATTCTTTCAAAGACATTATTTATATAGAAAATGATGATACTATTATTATTATAATTATTATTATTATTATTGATTTGATGTTTTGTTTGTTGACATAGTGATTTATTTTGTCTTGACAGGGAAATGTTGGTTCAGTGGAAGCCAAGACTGCTGCCGACGTCATTTTGAAGGACGACAGTATTTTTAGCATTAGACAAGCTGTCATGTGGGGACGCAATATCTGGGATGGGGTTGTGAAATTCGTCCAATCGCAGTTGGTTAGAGGTATGGTGACGTCGCTCATCGCATTTATTGGAGCTTGCACTTTTTCGGTAAGTTTATTCTTCCTGAGTAAAGTCAACACACTACTGCTTTAAATCATATGTTCGTGTAACAGTTAACCCAGACATCTACAAATTTTAAATAATCTATGCCAATTTCATTCTTCTAGAATTGTCCAATCAGAGCCATCCAAGTACTGTGGTCGTACCTATTGGTTGATGTTTCTATCATCCTATTGGCTGACAAACCAACTCGTCATATTTTGAAGTACAAGGCTTTGGGTTCTGACAATCATATGATTTCAGAACTGTTCATCGTTACAGTTCTTTCTCACTTTGTGTACCAAATAACTGTGCTTCTTGTGTTCATCTATAAAGGTAAGAAATGTATCATTACCTGCCATTACATTTTTTTGGCTCAATTTATAATGCTTGTAAGTTTGTTGGAAATTATCACCCTGATTTTTATCATAAGCATTTAAAAGCTAAAAATGACTTGTTACAACAGCTAATTTATTGTGGATGCAGGTTTTAACCCTTGTTAGGAAGGGGATTTAGATGGTGAAATAGTTCTTTTTCAATATTTTTATAATAATGAAAAAAAAAAAACTTGTATAGCACATCATGTAAAAAAGCCTCTATTCACTATTTTAGCAATGGTAGTGAGAGAAAAAAAAATGATGTAACCAGATAAAACTAACCTTTTCCTTAACCTAATGCATGGGTGGCTAATGGCACAGAGGAGTTCATCTACCCCTTGTTCAGCTGGGTTTTCTCTTGCTGCTAGGTGGTCATACACCCTCCTACCCTCCCGCTAATACCACCAAATGCATTTACCAGAATCGGTCGCCGACTGCGTGACCGGATGCAGTTTATAACGTCATCCCCAGGACACTGTAATCTTATAATACATTTAAATATGCTTATATACAATTACTTAACTATTTAGTTAAACTTCTCCCTGCTGGACGCAATACCAGAATTTTTAAGGCAAGTTTAAGATGTAAATTGTGTACTTTCAGGTGCTGAACTGTTTGACATCGACGATGGGCTGTTGAGAAGCCCGTCCGCATTTCCCACGCAACACATGACTATGGTCTTTAATGTTTTCATGTTGATGCAAATTTTCAATCAATTGAACGAGCGCAAAGTTCATGGCCAACAGCAGATATACAAGGGCCTGTATCAGATAAGGTCGCTAGTCTATTTAGTTGAGGTGAGTTTGTAATCATTTAAGTTATTTTTTATGAGGGGATGGCTTACTAGTCATCAGTGTTCATATGTAAATAAGATTACCTTCTGCAGCAAGTCACAGGTGAAGACTTGAGACTTTTTACTTTTGTAAATTGTACCATTTTATGTCAGTTTATTGTTTACTCAACAAGCTCATTGGTAAACAGCAATAAATTTTAGATAGTTTGTAACATTATTTTTGGGCAGATTGTCTAGTCACCGTGCTAAATATTGTGGACAACAAGAATTGTTGGTTGATTTTTTTCGATTGTTATTATTGTTTTCAGACTATCAGACTACCTTATTGATAGAAAGCAGTAGATGATGGAGAATTTGTACCATTTTTCCTGGACTTGCTTATCTACTCTTTATATATAGTGCATTTCATTCTGGTTACATATGCTTATTTACCTGAAAGTCAAACATTGATTTGATTTTTTTTAACTTTTTAAAAATAATTGAAAATGGAATTTTTATTAATTATATTCATTTTTCTTTTTCAGCTTGTTGCCCAGGTGTTAATTGTTCAAAATGGTAACTATGGCTTCGGTACTAAACCGCTAGATTTGGACCAATGGTTGTGGTGCCTAGCATTTGGTATTGGTACCCTCCTCTGGCACCAGATTGTTCTCATATTCTACAAACTCATCAATATGCTGGTTCCATTGATAGTGAATGGAAATTGATAGAAATTTTGTCACTGTAAATTGCAATATTGAACATCATGCCAGTCAGTTGAAAACTCTTAAGAGGCTACAGTGGTGTATCTAGAAGACTTGAAATGGGCCCACACAGACTTTTGTGGGCCCTACTCACCCCCCCCCCCCAAGATATGCCACTGAGATTTTTCTGTCTCTTATACACATCTAGATGTGTATAAGAGACAGAGATATGCCACTGAGAGGCTCTAACATTGTGGTTAAGTTGCTGATCCTTCATTTCCACATTTTTGGGTTCAAATCCTACAAGCATTCTTCTCATGACTTAAACAAGATCTCTTTTATCTCAGAATAATTTAGAAAGAAAATAGAAAAGGAAAATATTTGTTAAAAGATTTAAGTAGATTGCTGTATTGTTCAATCAGCAACGGAAATGATCTATTGATTATGAAGTTGAAAAAAGATTGTTGTAACATAATACTTCCTTTCATGATGAATAGTGCCTTTGCCCTCAAGAGGGCAGTAGATTTCTATTTTGATTATGAATTTGTATATAAGATTGCTGTGCACAAACATAACTTATCTTTCTAATTTAACTAAGCAAAAGTACAAAGACACAACAGAAATACAGGCTGAAGCATATGGTGTTGACTTGTCTGTAATGTTGAAATAGTTTTATTGATTTTATAAACTGAAAAAGCTGAGATTCCTTTAGAAAACTGTTTAGTATTGACTTAGGTTTTCAGTAAATATGTTTGTCTTTAATAATATAATAATTTTGATGGTGCAACAGGTTTTGTATTGTTATTTGAATCACTACACAATAGAAAAAAGAAGCAATTGCGAAAAAAAGTTTGCATGTTCTATGTTATATTGTATTTGTATATGTTTATAATAGTTATCTACTGTACATAAATTTTGATGTGTAGGAATTATATTTGCGTTTAAAGCCAACTCATACAGCGTCATATGATGCGATTTATAATCGGGGACAGTCTTTAGGTCGTCGTGAGAATAGTCCCCAACGCACACCCATCAAGTCAGCATTCTACTCGCACAGAGCAGATGCGACAACTTATTGCGTCATACGATGCTGTGTAAGTTTGCCTTTACATCCAATTGCATCTTACCAATTTATGTTTAAATTTTATGTTTTAACCATGTATTCATTTTTTATTAAACTTCTAATTGGTATCATTAATGACAATGTATGTAACGTTTATTTCTTATATAATATTTTGCACAAACAATTATATTTTTATACTCCTAAATGTTCCTTTGACGCTTTATGTTTTTGTTTTTGTTGTATTTATGTAAAAGATGTATTTAATTTTATCTTCTTTAGTATGTTTATACGCTTTTACTAACATTATATAGATATAGGTATATATCGGTATATTAAATTAAAAAATGATTATGCTTTTTTTTATACCTATTCATAAACAAATAAGCTGGTCTACCTAGGTCTGTCTCTTATACACATCTTTTTCAGTGGCAAATCTTGGAATTTGAAGAGGGCCAGGGAGGGACTTTCACAGATGGCCTGGGTCCAGGCCCTAATTTTGGGTTACTCACTCTTTATTGCACTTAGTGCGCGCCATACCCAATTTAATTGGCGTCCCATACTCGGTTTCTTTTTTTTCGGATTATTTCTTATTCCGACTCTAAATTAACTTTTTCGTTGGTGACGCTGTCCAGAATGAGAAAGATAATAAAAAAATAAGAGACTTGTGGCAAGTCTAATGGAGGAAATACCACCTAACTCCACCATGGTTGGGGCTGAGGGAAGAAAATTTATGATTATGGCACCTCCAAATGGTCGGAAGTTGCACTGTCATGCAATTTGAATATCATATTCTTTTTTCCCCATTTTTTTAAATCTTTAAAAATAGAGGGGAACCTGTCTCTTATACACATCTAGATGTGTATAAGAGACAGCTACAAACTCATCAATATGCTGGTTCCATTGATAGTGAATGGAAATTGATATAAATTTTGTCACTGTAAATTGCTATATTGAACATCATGCCAGTCAGTTGAGAACTCTTAAGAGGCTACAGTGGTGTATCTAGAAGACTTGAAATGGGCCCACACAGACTTTTGTGGGCCCTACTCACCCCCCCCCCCCAAGATATGCCACTGAGAGGCTCTAACTTTGTGATTAAGTTGCTGGTCCTTCATTTCCACATTTTTGGGTTCAAATCCTACAAGCATTCTTCTCATGACTAAAACAAGATCTCTTTTATCTCAGAATAATTTAGAAAGAAAGTAGAAAAGGAAAATATTTGTTAAAAGATTTAAGTAGATTGCTGTATTGTTCAATCAACAACAGAAATGATCTATTGATTATGAAGTTGAAAAAAGATTGTTGTAACAATTACTTTCTTTCATGATGAATAGTGCCTTTGCCCTCAAGAGGGCAGTAGACCTCTATTTTGATTATGAATTTGTATATAAGATTGCTGTGCACAAACATAACTTATCTTTCTAATTTAACTAAGCAAAAGTACAAAGACACAACAGAAATACAGGCTGAATCATATGGTGTTGACTCCTGTAAGGTTGAAATAGTTTTATTGATTTTATAAACTGAAAAAGCTGAGATTCCTTTAGAAAACTGTTTAGTATTGACTAAGGTTTTCAGTAAATATGTTTGTCTTTAATAATATAATAATTTTGATGGTGCAACAGGTTTTGTATTGTGATTTGAATCATTACACAATAGTAAAAAGAAGTAATTGCGAAAAAAAGTTTGCATGTTCTATGGTATATTGTATTTGTATATGTTTATAATAGTTATCTACTGTACATAAATTTTGATGTGTAGGAATTATATTTGCGTTTAAAGCCAACACATACAGCGTCATATGATGCAGCCTGATGCGATTTATAATTGGGGACAGTCTTTAGGTCGTCGTGAGAATAATCCCCAATGCACACCCATCAGGTCAGCATTCTACTCGCACAGAGCAGATGCGACAACTTATTGCGTCATACGATGCTGTGTAAGTTTGCCTTTACATCCAATTGCATCTTACCAATTTATGTTTAAATTGTATGTTTTAACCATGTATTCATATTTTATTAAACTTCTAATTGGTATCATTAATGACAATGTATGTAACGTTTATTTCTTATATAATATTTTGCACAAACAATTATATTTTTATACTCCTAAATGTTCCTTTGACGCTTTATGTTTTCGTTTTTGTTGTATTTATGTAAAAGATGTATTTAATTTTATCTTCTTTAGTATGTTTATACGCTTTTACTAACATTATATAGATATAGGTATATATCGGTATATATTAAATTAAAAAATGATTATGCTTTTTTTATACATTACCCTGGTTTCCCAGATAGACAAAGTTCTAATATTAATATAATGATGGAATATGATCAGTAAAAGAAATAAGGTTGCTTGTCATTATATGATGAAATTTATTACCTACCTAGGTAGACCAGCTTATTTGTTTATGAATAGAGAACACTCCTTCGTATTAACATGTTTTTCATTTATTTACTATAGCTAGTACAATCATCGATATGTGCATTTAAGGTTGTGAAGTATGTAATGGAATAATGATACCAAAGATTGATCAAATCTTGACTGATGCAATACTGTTGCAATGTAGTAATTACTGTAAATTGATGAGATTTTACACAGCCTTGAAACTAGGGGCATATCTAGAACATAAACCTGGACACTCATTGCGTTGTATGACCAACTCCGCTTCATGTGATTGCGAGACGATGTGACGCTGTCTGATGGTCGTCAGTGGCACTCTGAACGGATCTTCATTAAAAATTGATCTGTTGCGCACGTCTTCTTGTTGCGTTCTTCATTTAAATTGCGTCCGCAGATGACTGTCGGCGCATTGATTGTTTGGCTTTAAGCATTTGGAATTGGGTAGGGAAGGGATGGAAACGGAGAAACTGGGAATGCACCTTGTCGCCTCGCACTTACACACAGTAATTTATTATGCACTTGGTAATATCAGATTGCAAATTAAGTGTTGCATTTACTTTAAAAGCACTTGTGTAGCATTAACATACAGTGCTGTGTTGTTAATGTTGTTTCTTTTGTGGGTTGTATTGTAGTGTGGTGGTCGTGGTCATGGACTTTTACCATTAAAAATCCACTTCACAATAGACGAACTGGGAATACTCCAGCCTTAATAATGGCTCCTGAATGGATTTACTTTACTACTAATACAACTGGAGTCCAGA